AAAAAAAAAATTTTTTTTTTTTTTTTTTGCGCCTTATGACAAATTTGGAGGGCATTTTTTTCATGAACAAAGGCTTTGATGCATATTCCTTTCTATGTGAAATGGGTAGTAGTGTTCCCTGAGGAAAGTTGCACAGTGAAAACCAGTCTAGTTGTGACCCACTTTGTGTTTTTTTTTTAATCTCTATTACACAAGTTGAATTTTACTGAATTTGTAATTTGTCGGTTTGTTTAATGAAGTTTGGTTGATGCCATCTTTTGCACTGCTGAAGTGAAATCTTGCTTATTAGTTAGCTTTTTGCTAATCTCAGTATGGGCAATGTAACAACGAATCCAAATGGCTGGACAGACTTCTTGTGTTTTGTAAATATAAAAATGACTGTTCTGTATGTGTGTTTTCTGTGGTAAAGTGAAGCTTCGAGTGAAGCTTCACTTAGAGTGATTCTTTGTTTAGCAAGTTTAGAGTGGTGATAATATGGTAAGAAATAATATAAATGTTGAAGGAAGCATCACAACAGAACTGTAGGAGTCCAAATTTAAAACAAAAATACCAACAAGTATCTAGAATATACCACGTTTTATTATTTAAAATCATTGTATTAAGTTTTTTGTTCAAAATAAAAATTTGAATACAATCAAAACATTAACAATAATGTATTTTTGTTTACTGTCTTTCCTTTTTTTATTTTATATTTTTGTAAATAACATGTTCCACCATTCATAGCAGAATTACTGGGAGAATTCTGTCAAGTGTTAATTTTGAAATCTTCCTTTTTACCTGCACTACAGTCAGGCTTATGGCTTCACATTGGGCTTTTCCACGTTGGTTGCATGTTAGAACCACCCAGAGAACTTTAAAAAAAAAAAAAGAATTAAAAAGATGTTGAGAATTTGATTAATTTGCTGATCTCTGTTTTCTAACTTTCTATATTTTGACTTCTATAATCCATACAAATGCATTTATAGACTTTTTTATATATACTGAATAAAAATAGAAAAGGAATTCATTAAATACTCTTTAAAGAGGAGGGCCTTTATATTACAGGGTAAAGAGCTGATCATTTGGGGGGAAAATTGATTAGTCTTGTAACCAAGCTGTTGTTTAAAGAAAATCTTTTTTTTTTTTTTAAGGTGGACCAAATTGCGAATTAACATGCTTCCTGCTACAATAATTTGTGAGCCAATTTCAGAGTGCTTTGTTGCCAGTTTAATTATCGGATGGGCAGCCCACCATGTATTCAGATGGGATATTATGGTATTTTTCATGTGTCATTGCCTGGCATGGTTTATATTTGACTACATTCAACTCAGGGGTGTCCAGGTATGTGGATAGGCATGAAAAGGTTGGCAGTCATTTGGTAGAACTAAAACTATTTTAATTTAGAAAAGGTTGAAGAAATCTATCTGAGCCATTCTTTAGCTTCCCATTGAAGGTTAATATCAGGTTTAAACATTACTTTCCGTAGTAGAATGCGGATGCAAAACTCAACTTGATTTTCAACTTTCAGTTGGTAGTTATACTATGACTTTTATTAAGGCTCAAAAAATAATGTAATAAAATGATTTTTATTAAGGCTCCCCAAAGAATCAAGTATTCAAACTAAAATAGGTCAGGATAGCCATGATTTTAATGGTTTTTCTACTCATCATTAACACTTTTTAACAGATATAGCATGGCAGTTAAATCATATAAAGAAGCAGGCTTGATTTTTATGTAGTGTATTTAAAAGAGTGAAATTGAAGAATTTCATTTTTTTTAACTGTGTCTAAGTTCGACAGTCGGTCAGTCAGTTGTTGTTGTTTTTTTTTTTTTTTAAATCCCCAGGGTGGCACACTGTGTTTCTCAAAACTTGATTATGCAGTAGCCTGGTTCATCCGTGAATCCATGACAATATACATTTTTTTGTCGGCATTATGGGACCCTACCATAAGCTGGAGAACTGGTCGCTACAGATTGCGCTGTGGAGGCACAGCGGAGGAAATTCTAGATGTATAACGACAGCTTTGTGACTGTACATAAAGGAAAAAAAGAGAAGTATTATAAATTATGTTTATATAAATGCTTTTAAAGATCTACCTTCAGTAGTTTTATCACATGTATGTTTGATATCTGTTCTTTAATTTATTTTGCATGGCACTTGCATCTGTGAAGAAAAAAAAAAACACATCTGTAGTCTTGGCCAAATGGTACACTTTATTTTGTGGAAGTAGTGAATCAAGAGAATTGGTTCTAGGAACCTGGGTTTGGTTTTTGTTGTTGTTTGTTTATTTTTTAAAAATAAATAAATATATATATATATAAAATATATGAATGCTCTGCAACAAACACTATGACAGTATCCTTCAGTAGAGAAAGTTTCTTATTTGTGAGTACACTCTTTTAGAACATTCATGGGATGGCAGCAGCTTTGTTTTGGGGTTTAGGAAAGGCTAGAAAGTAATCCCTTTACGTGTCTAAAGTGAAAGGTATTATGTGGTGGACAGCCCACAGCGGGGTACTAACTAAGAAACTTTTTCATGCTCTATGCCTACCTCTTGTAGTTGTTGCAGAGCAAATATAAATTGTAATAAGGTAGCTAGGCCTTGCAAAAACAAATGGGAAAACTTTAAAAATAATAATAAAAGAGCTGGAGTCTAGTATTTATATGAATCTGTGAGAGAGATTTTTTTGGTCTCACTGCAATGAACCAAAAGTGGTTGAGTTGGGTTTTTAATTGTAGCCATGTATTGAAGGCATCCTTTTGACCAACTCCTGTTGGTTCTGTCTTGAACCATTGTTAATCACTGTGCTGGTAAACCTTTCCTTCCTTGCTCCTTACCCGACCCCACCCCATCTTTCCTGAACTTTTTTTGGGGGGGGGGGCGGTGGTGGTGGTTTTGTTTTAGTGTGAGTGGATGTTTTGATAGTTGTGAGGAAAAATGCATTTCAGACACATTTCACACATGAGCTATTTTCTTACACAGTATGTCTTATTGTTAAAAAGAATGTAATTTCATGATACAGGTATTTAATATCTTTTTTAAGTAAATATTCTAGCCATCAAATAAATTGCAGTAGAGTATTAAGTGGGGACAAGATGAGTTTTCCTCTTAAAATTAATCAGTATCAAACTAAGTCTACTGTGTATGTGTTTTTTTTTTTAACTCTTACAGTTAGTCTAGTCTTATTTAAATTGGATTTTTGTATTCCAGTTTGTATGACAGAATAGACTAGATTGGCGCTAGTTGTAAATGCATGCTGTCTTTCACTCTTCTCTCCCCATCCTGCCGCTAAACTTGCTTGTCAGGTTGTACTTAACTTGTGGTGAACTGGACTAGTTACTGTTTTTTTTAAAAAAAAAATAGGCAAAATGTAAGGGACAGTGCATAAGCCTTTTTTCTTCTGTAGTGGAATTTTTGCTTTTTCTTCAGGATTGGATGGCATGTTGTCCACATGAACGCCTGCTGCAGGGCTGACGCCAGCAATATGGCAGCTTTAAAGTCTAAGTTACTACAGTTTCCGTGTCAAAGCATCATGTGTAGCATATCAGCAATAATTACATATTTATAGAAAATGGACACATTGTCACTGCACTGAGCCAATTCATTTAATTGTCTAATGACTAACATGGTTTCAATTGTAATGTAGCTATTAATGTGTATATACTATGTATACACATTATGTATAAGCTTTTCTCTGGGCCAAACTGCTTCATTCAAAAAAAAAATTTTTTTTTTTTTTTTTTGCGCCTTATGACAAATTTGGAGGGCATTTTTTTCATGAACAAAGGCTTTGATGCATATTCCTTTCTATGTGAAATGGGTAGTAGTGTTCCCTGAGGAAAGTTGCACAGTGAAAACCAGTCTAGTTGTGACCCACTTTGTGTTTTTTTTTTAATCTCTATTACACAAGTTGAATTTTACTGAATTTGTAATTTGTCGGTTTGTTTAATGAAGTTTGGTTGATGCCATCTTTTGCACTGCTGAAGTGAAATCTTGCTTATTAGTTAGCTTTTTGCTAATCTCAGTATGGGCAATGTAACAACGAATCCAAATGGCTGGACAGACTTCTTGTGTTTTGTAAATATAAAAATGACTGTTCTGTATGTGTGTTTTCTGTGGTAAAGTGAAGCTTCGAGTGAAGCTTCACTTAGAGTGATTCTTTGTTTAGCAAGTTTAGAGTGGTGATAATATGGTAAGAAATAATATAAATGTTGAAGGAAGCATCACAACAGAACTGTAGGAGTCCAAATTTAAAACAAAAATACCAACAAGTATCTAGAATATACCACGTTTTATTATTTAAAATCATTGTATTAAGTTTTTTGTTCAAAATAAAAATTTGAATACAATCAAAACATTAACAATAATGTATTTTTGTTTACTGTCTTTCCTTTTTTTATTTTATATTTTTGTAAATAACATGTTCCACCATTCATAGCAGAATTACTGGGAGAATTCTGTCAAGTGTTAATTTTGAAATCTTCCTTTTTACCTGCACTACAGTCAGGCTTATGGCTTCACATTGGGCTTTTCCACGTTGGTTGCATGTTAGAACCACCCAGAGAACTTTAAAAAAAAAAAAAATACAGATGCCTCGCCCTTGCCCACAGGAGATTCTGGTTCAGTTATTCCGGGGTGAGGCCTGAGCTCTGCTTGTTCTGAGCAGGCAGACCTGAGAAGCTTTGTCCCTTTTGGGCCCCTTTGGCACCCCCTCCTGCCTTGGCTCACAGCCTGACTCAGCCTCTTAGATGGTACCACTCCAGTGGCTGGGAAAGGAAAGAAATGGCTTCCCTGGCTGGAGACCCAGATGGGAGATTGCTAAGCCCGACCCCCCCGCCACTGTCCAGGGCCAGGCTCCTCCCAAGCTGGAGGCATTTCCAGGCCTATTTCACCATCAGCCTGTGAGGGCAGAATACTTTTAACTGGAGAGCAGATCCCAGGGGAGGAAGAGTCTGAAAAGAATTTGAAATGATGAAAATGTTTTGCCGTAAAACAGCAGTGATGGTTGCACAACCTTGTGAATAGACAAAAAACCCTGAATTGTATACTTTAAAAGGCAAATTTTATGGTCTGTTAATTATATCTGAATTTTTAAAAATAAATAAAGGAAATCGTGAAACCACCATTAATGTATTATTTCCTTCCAGTCTTCTGATACCTGTTGCCGAAATGGTTCGAGAAAGTGCGCAGAGCTGCTCGTTGTTTGGTATCCTTGCTCAAACACAGAATGGCCGGTTTCAAAATCTTTCTAAAACTGAGAGATGAAAATATTGTACCTCATTGTTTAAACAAGGAGTTTTTGGGTTTTTTTTTTTTTAAAGTAGGCTCCACGCCCAGCGCAGAGCCCAATGCAGGGCTTGAACTCAGAACCCTGAGATCAAGACCTGAGCTGAGATCAAGAGTCGGATACCCAGGTGCCCCTCAACATACGGATTTTTTTAAATGACTGGCAAAATTGAGTATTTTTGTATGTATGATTTATAACCACTGGAATTTCTGATCTTATTTAAGTGAGGGTCTTAATGCTTCCTTATTGTGTATTCCAAGTCTTGTCTTAATCATAATAAACAATTTACATCACCAGATAGAAGTTCATTTCTGAACTTTATTTGCTAGTATTTAATGAAATATTTTCTAGGCTTCAGAGTGAGGTTATGCTAACTGCAAAGTCAGTTGGGTTTTTTTCCCCCCTGTGCTCCAGAAATTACTTATTTAGCCAGGAATGATCTGTTCCTTGAAAGTTTGAAAGCATTTATCCATAAAACTATATGGGCCTGGCACTTCAATAACCTTTTGCAGTTTATTTCATTGGTACGAATCAGTTCACATTTTCTATGTCTTTTAAAGTCCGTTTTGGTTATTTGCACCACAGAGATGCACACAGCATTTTCATAATTCTCTTCGGACTCCTGCTAGCTGCGTGTGCTGCTGGGCAGGAGGTTTGCAGCCCCTGTGCGGATTGAACTTGCACCTCAGGTCTGAGAGCAGAGTTGCAGGCAAGGCCATCCCTCCCCAGGCCGCCAATATCCTCTAAGAAAACTTGGCCTCCATTACTCCTAGTCTTAAAACACTTGAATGGCTTGATGTTACCTTCAGGATAAAGCCCAAGGCTTACTCATGGCAGAAAGGCCATTTTAGGTGACATCCTTGCCCACACCTCCCCTCTTGCTGTTTTGCCTAACCCACTCACATTGAACTCTCACTGTAAGCTTCCTGCCGTTTACCTGATGTCTGCTCTTGCCCGCTCTGCGCCTCTGTGCCTGTTACTTCCTCCGACTCCGTTCCTCCAGCCTCCACATTGCCCTTGGGACTCCACTCAGGTGCCAGTTCCTCCGTGACTTACCTGCACGGCTTATGGACCCTGTGTCTGCCTCCACAGCCTCGCCCTGCACGTCCGCCCTAGTACCTAGTTCCTAATACCTAATACTAATTATTTTCATTGGTCCTATAGTTGTTTGTGTTCATCATTAAATTGGAAATACCAAGGGCAGGGAGGGTCAGTAATGTACTTGACTTGGTGTCCCAAGCTCCTGGCTTAGGACCTGATACAAAGTCCACTCTCTGGAATGAACGAACAAACAAAGATAAGCATGGCTTTGTCACTAATCTGAGACCTATAGCTAATCGCATGATAGGAATGCAGTCTGTGGAGCCAGCCTGCTCGGGTCCGCTTTCCAGCGTCACCATTTGCTTCCTATACACACTCTCTCTGCCTCAGTGGACACCGACGTGATCGACCTCTCAGGGTCGGTGGGAGAATTGAAGGGAGGACTGCATTTGAAAAGCCACGTTCTCAGTAAAACCTTGTGCATGACGATAAGGATCTCAAGTCACTAAGTGAGAATGAAAGCTTAGTTACACCGTCGACAAAGTAGCTCTTCCTCCAAGGCTTGAGGGAAAGAATTGTTCACAATCTGATGGAGAGAGTTGCATGGTCTTTTGTAGGGCAACTGACCCCTCAGCCCTTGGTGGTTCAGAGTAAATATTCTAGCCTTCAAGATGAAAATCAATCTGATTCATTTAAACTATTCTCAATAGTGCTACTGTAGCCCATATAATACCGTTCAGACTGTCAGAGCCGGTGGCCTGAGCTGCAACGCCTGGCAACACCGCGAGACCCCACTGCACAGACCCGCAATCCGACAAGAATGGCCACAGAATCTGAAGGCCGAGAACCTGGTGTTCACAGCAGAGCATTACAACACACCTGTGTGGAATGCGGTGCACCCGTGACACTTGGCTGGAATGGCTGGAATATTTCCAGCTATTACTCCTTTATAGGACAATTTTCTGTATAATTCAAAGAGTCTCCTGGGTGCTCTCTGACTCTGGGCACTGACGGCAATTAGCATGAAGGCCGAGGTCTCTAGACGTGGCCATCTGAAGGGGACTTTTCTTCCGCATGGCTTTGTAGCTTTCATGGTTTCCAAACGAGTATTAAGAATTGTTTTTTTCTTAAAGATTTATTTGTCAGAGAGAGAGATCACAAACGGGGAGAGTGGCAGGCAGAGGGAGAAGCAGGCTCCCCGCTGAGCAAGGAGCCCTATGCGGGACTCGATCCCAGGACCCTGGGATCATGATTCGAGCCGAAGGTAGACAGACACTTAACCGACTGAGCCACCCAGGCATCTCATATGAGAGTTATTTTAAATGCCAACTGCAGTGCTCCACTCCCATGTCCTAAAGCCAAAAACTCCATACCTTTATAAGCTTTCCTTAGATTCTGATGCAGGCACTTTCTGGGACACTTGAACATTTCAGTAGAGCTATATTACCATGGGGATGCATTTCACACAAGTCAAGGACTGTGGAATGAAGGTGGTGGCCTTGTGGGCAGGAAAGTTGAGGCTCAGCCCCTAGGACATATTTTTTTTGATCTCTAAGTGAAGTGGCTGAGATACTTTGATTTATAATAAGAAACATAGGGGCGCCTGGGTGGCTCAGTTGATTGAGCGCCCGCTCTTGGTCTCAGCTCAGGTCTCGATCTCAGGGTCATGAGTTAGAGCCCCGAGTTGGGCTCTGCTGGGCGTGGAGCCTACTTTAAAAAAAATAATAAACATATATTTGATCTTCAGCCCCCTTTCTGGCACAGAGCTCCTCAAACCCTTATAATCTCCTACATGAAGAGAGGCCTTTTGTTATGTTAATGAGGTGACTCCGGCTGCAGCTAGGGTTGGGGCTGGTGGCTGGGAGAACCAAACGTGATTGGAGGGTTGGAACTTTCAGGGAAGGGAGAGCACCTGGAGGTTGAATCAATCTCCAATGGCCGATGATTTAATTAATCGTACCTATATAATGAAGCCTCCATGAAAACCCGAAGGATGAGGCTCAGAGAACTTCTAGGATGGTGAACACATGGAGATTTGGGGGAGATCCACGTGCCTGGAGAGAGCATGGAAGCTCCAAGCTTTTCCTCCTGCCATGGCCTCTATATCTTTTCCATCTGGCTGTTCCTGAGTTACTCCCTTTAGTAAACTGGTAATCTAGTCAGTGAGATGTTTCTTTGAGTTCTGTGAGCCGCTCTGGCAGAATAATGGAACTCAAGGCCGGGATGGTTGGAAACTCCAATCTATAGCCAGTTGGTCGGAAGCTGAGGTGACAACCTGGACCAGCTTCAGAAGCGGCAGGGGGTAGGTTGGGGAACGGTCCTGTAGAACTGAAACCTTACCCTGTGAGATCTAATGCTATCTCTGGGTAGATAGTGTCACAATGGAGCTAAACTCTGGGACACCCAACTGGTGTCCTGAGCATTGCTTGGTGTGGGGGGAACCTCCCCCGCCACATGGTGGAATGGTGATCAGGAACCAAATAGTGGCCCCATGCAAGTGTAATCACCAGAGGTTGCCACAACACCCAGGAATCTACGAGGCAGATCATACAGAATGGCAGATGTTGATTGGCAAACAAGAGGCCGGGTAAGTGGGAACTTAGACGCAGAGGAAAACACATTGAAAAGTTAACAAAGTTTTCAAATATTTTTTTCTTAGAAACTCTAATTTTGAACTTTGTTACCAGGGTAGCTGGAACTTAAAATTTTTACTTTGTTTTCATGGATTAGCCCAAGGGGGGAAATGTGTGGAAGAGTACCATTGCTGTGTCTAAAGACATTGAGCCAAAGTTGCTGAGAGCAGCACCTGCCGTCCCAGGGAGTTCTGGGAAAATGACAACCTGTTATAGTCACTTTTTTTTTTTTAAGATTTTATTTATTTATTTGACAGAGAGAGACAGCGAGAGAGGGAACATAAGCAGGGTGAGCGGGAGAGGGAGAAGCAGGCCTCCTGCAAAGCAGGGAGCCCCATGCAGGGCTCGATCCCAGGACCTTGGGATCATGACCTGAGCCGAAGGCAGACGCCTAATGACTGAGTCACCCAGGTGCCCCTGTTATAGTCACTTCTGATCTCAGTCCCTCCCATCTAGGACCACTCAGCCACAGAATAAAGAGTCCAGACACAGCTAGGAGCTCGTTGCTTGAAATCTAGGCACGAGTCCAAATCTGGCTGCCGTACGTCCTTGCCGTGATCTTGTCTGGGAGACACCGGTGCATTCCACTGATGGTGCTAGAAAGAAGATTGAGCTTTCTTCCA